TCCGTACAGGGAGCGAGGATCCAGCTCGAAATCAACAGGCAGCTCCTCTCCGAGTGGAGTTACAGCTCTCCAGCTACACCAGAGCTGAAGCATCCCCCTGCGGGCTCCTGCACCTGCCTGCGCTTTCAGGCTGCCATCTGGACAGAACACGGCACCAGCTCCCCAGCTCAGGGCCAGGCCCTGCAGGCCCCATGGTACCTGGACACCGGCTCAGAACGCAGTGCAGCGACTGGGGAACACGTCTTATGAGGAGCAGCTGAGGGAACTGGGGTTGTTTTCAGTCTGGAGGAGGCAGACCCTATTGCTATCGCTACCTGAAAGGAGGTTGTAGTGAGGCAGGGGTTGGTCTCTCCTCCCAAGTAACTAACGATAGGACAAGAAGAAATGGGCTGAAATTGAGCCAGGGGAAGTTTAGATTGGATAGTAAGAATTTCTTGACTGAGTGGTGAGGCACTGGAACAGACTGCCCAGGGAAGCAAAGTCACCATCTCTGGAGGTGTTCAAAAACTGTAGACATGGCACTTCGGGACATGGTTTACTGCTCATGGTAGTGTTGGGTTGACAGCTGGACTTGATCATCTTACAGGTCTTCTGCAACCTTAATGATTCTATTATCCTTGGAAAGGTTGAGGTCACAACTAGTTCTGGGTTTCAACACTTAAAACTTGAAGTAGCTTAACTGAAGTTGTAACAACTTTATTCTTACAGCTAAGTTTGAGACAAGCTGCCTTCTTGAACATGAATTCAACCATGTTTCCTTAGCACGCCAAAGGGACAAAGCAAATGTAGGATTTTTCATACCTGCTTGACAACAGACTTACTCTGACCTGGAAAGCTGGTTACTAAAAGTTTGGTTTATTGACAGGATGTTTTGGGAATTTCAGTCAACACCTGAAACATGCACCTATTTCAAGGCTGTAAGTAGTAGGCTGCAAACAGTTTACAGAAAAGAGTAGGAAGGGGGATTGGTGAGTATCCATGACAGCATTTCCAAAATACAACTGTCAGTCAAAGGTTCAAATAAGACCTTTATTAAAACACAGAGTTGGTAACACGTTTTTAAACGTATTTAAAAGAAAGTATTTGGTCTCTTGGTGGTGAAACGTGGTTTGTGCTGGCGACGCAGAACTCTGTGTGGCAGAGGGAACTTGATTTTAGAATCCTGCAAGAAAAATGTTTGTGTTTACTGAGGTATTAGATGAACAGAAGACATTGTTTGCAATAAGCTACGCCAAGCTCTATTCAACTACCAACTGATGAAGTTGAACAGAGTAGCAATGCATCCACAGGTTAGATATCCTTCATAGGAGTCAGCAGATGCCTTGGTTTTACAATTCTTTTAGAAAGAAACGCCTGTAAAAGGCAAGTTTTCTGCAACATAATACGTATTTGGGTTACTCTGACACGTTAGTTTGTTGTTTCAAACAGTTCCAGCATTAAAAGTCTCAATCATAACGTAACAGAATTCTAAACCTACGCATGCAGGTTTGGTTCCACCCCTGGCTTTGCCAGCAAAGCAAACTCATACCAGACAGGAGAGCTGCCCCTGCCAGCCCAGCGTCCCAGCAGGACCCACCAGCCCCTGCAGCGTGGCTTCACTTACGTGGAACTGCTTCACTGCTGGTCTGCGGCACTTGCTGGCAGCGATCTCCTCAACTTTCATGATCTGAATGGAGTGAGCACGGGCACGGTGACGGGCTCCCATATCACGGTCTGTAACAAGACAAACATTAAAAATAAATCTGAGTAAGTTTTCTGATTCAAAATCTTACTACTGTCTTTTCAGGAAACGTTTACCATCAACAACTTCTAAAATTTCTCGTCAGCTCTACTGCATCACACAGGTTTCAGTACATAAAGGGATGGCACAAATATCACAGAACCAATATGCAGCAGCAAATTCTTCCTGGCCCTCATAACCAAGCTACTCCAAGAAAGTGCCATCTTATTTTTCTTGACTGATTTCAATAAGGGACATGCTTCCAGAAGTAATCTACACGGGACTATTTCAGTTTTTGCACAAGAAAACTGTGACTCCAAGACAACGCTGAAAGAGGACTCCTGGGAAGACGTGAGCTTCAAAAAATTTCCCTTCCAATAGAAAGGTGCAAATAAAGGTAGGATCTGAGGTTATCTTTACTTTTCTTAAAAATGACAAGTGATAGAAATGTGACTTGATATTTAGCCCACGTAATTAGGCTTTGAGAACAGGAGGAAGACATCTGAATGTGGGCTACCTAAAAATCCCTCCCTGTGGCAAGGCAAATCAAATCACTGCCTTTGTTTCATCACGTCCACACTAGCTCCACAAGATGTGCACAGTGGAGTACTGCTGTGCTGGCAATGCTTCCCATGAAGATCTTGCATACCTATTAAAAACTTACCCGTCAAAAGTAGTCTTCAACGTAAAGGTATCAAAGTGATTGTATTTGGACAAATTAAGTTCTCTGGCCTCCTAAGCTGTCTTTCAGTACGTTAATTAACAGGAATTATTGGAAGTCAATGTAGAACCTTAAATTTCACTTTCAACAGCACTTCAGCTTTTGAAAGGCGACAAGATACGTTTAATATTTGCACACATGACAAGAATATCATTATTAAGAACAATATTCTTTGGGTTTTTATGTGCATTCTGTAGCGTTTGTAACACATCAGGATTCAAATATCAACAGCAACAGCTGCACCCATGCCCTGGCCCTCAAGTACTTCAAATTACAGACTGAAATCAGGACAACCTTTAATTCTCCCTGAACCAAGGCAATCAGATCTTCGAGCAACACAGATTTCCCCCCCCACATGATTTTTTTTTTTACTTGCCCACCAAAGGACAGATACTATTAAGTCCCACATGAGATCTGAGATATTCTCTCCACAACACTGGGGAAGATTATTAATTATTAAAATAAATAAATAAATAAATAGTGCAAGCAGCATATACATCACCTAAAAGATCATGAAACTCCCAGTCCTTGTAATGAGTTGTGCTATACAGATTGTAGAAAGTCAAACAAAGATGACATAGGAATATTTTCAGCCAGAAAAAGTGTATAAAGAGTGGTAACGAACAAGTTACCACATAAATCATACACAAACATCTATGGACTTCTCTGGGAAGTCACCATTTTATTTTTCCAGTGTTTCAGTTATCACGGATCAAGTCAGCACACTTTATACCCAGTTTAAAATTGCATCTTGTGCTCATATATTGGTCCTACCATTTGATACCGCAAACCAGTCACAGGTACTTACAGCACTGAGTGACAGCACCTGCCGTGGTCAGATCCCTGTACTCCCTGTACATGTTGTGAGTCCCGCTACGAGAATCATAGCGCAACCAGATGCCAAAATTTTTTACCCGCAGAGGGGACTTCTCATACACCTAGAATTACACAAAAGCACAGAAGTAATTAAAAGACAGTACATGATCAGCATTTTACAAGTTTAAGTATTTTGGAGTTCTGATGAACTCACTGTGCTAGGTTTTATT